TTTAGTAGAGACGTGTTTCACCGTGTTAGCCAGGATGGTCTTGATCTCCTGATCTCATGATCCGCCTGCCTCGGCCTCCCAAAGTGCTGGGACTACAGGCGTGAGCCACCGCACCCAGCCTGCCTGGCCAGTTTTTAAAACATTTTCAGGTTAGCTAGTCTTTGTTGAATAAAGGCAAACATTTTGCTGCATCATTACTTTCCATCTCCAAGAGTTTCTGACACCAGTGCCTCTCTGTGAAGAAAGCAGTGTGTTGTGACAACATCAAGGTTTTGTTTGTTGGTTTTGTTTTTTTCCAAGGACAGTAAAAATTCTTATAGAGCCAACCATTGATTTGAACCATCGGTATAAATGCCAAGGTAGTTCTTCCAAGACAGACTTTTTGATGATTCCTCATATGAAATGACATTAAATCTATCTTGGCTTTTTGTTTGTTTGGGAAAGCTGAAAAATTTTCTTGATGATCGTGCTGACCATTTACAGATCTTACTAGTGCTATAGCATGGTAAGCATTCACCATTTTATTGATGAAATCAGTTGACTCATCAGCCAGGATAAAGATTAAGTTGTAGCCCGGTGCAGTGGCTCATGCCTGTAATCCCAGCACTTTGGGAGGCCGAGGAGGGTGGATCACAAGGTCAGGAGATCAAGACCATCCTGGCTAACACGGTGAAACCCCATCTCTACTAAAAATACAAAAATAAAATTAGCTGGGCACAGTGGTGGGTGCCTGTAGTCCCACCTACTCGGGAGGCTGAGGCAAGAGAATGGCGTGAACCCGGGAGGTGGAGCTTGCAGTGAGCCGAGATTGCGCACTGCACTCCAGCCTGGGAGACAGAGCGAGACTCTGTCTCAAAAAAAAAAAAAAAAAAATCAAGTCGTTTTTCAGTTTATTATCAAGAAAACAAAAATAAAATCCTGTTCAGTATCAGAGACCATGTCGTCAATATGTGAGGTTGTTGTTCTCTCTCAGGGTAGAGTCTTTTCTTTCTTTCTTTCTTTTTCTTTTTTTTTTTGAGACAGAGTTTCGCTCTTGTTGCCCAGGCTGGAGTACAGTGGCGTGATCTCGGGTCACTGCAACCTCCACCTCCTGGGTTCAAGCGATTCTCCTGCCTCAGCCTCCCAAGTAGCTGGGATTACAGGCGCCTGCCACCACACCTGGCAAATTTTTGTATTTTTATTAGAGACGGGGTTTCAGCATGTTGGCTAGGCTGGTCCCAAACTCCTGACGTCAGGTGATCCATCCTTCTTGGCCTCCCAAAGTGCTGAGATTACAAGTGTGAGCCACCATGCTTGGCCTTTTTTCTTTTTCTTTTTCTTTTTTTTTAAAATAGACAAGGTCTTGCTCTGTCACCAAGGCAGTGGAGTTATCACGGCTCACTATAGCCTCAGCCTCTTGGACTCAAGTGATCCTCCTGCCTCAGCCTCTGGAGTAGATGGGACCATAGCATGCCACCGTGCTCAGCTAATTTTTAAATTTTTTATAGAGAGGGTCTTTCTTTGTTTTCCAGGCTGGTTTTGAACTCTTAGCCTCAAGTGATCCTCCCTCCTTGGTCTCCCAAAGTTCTGGGATTACAGGTGGGAGCCACTGTGCCTGGCCTATTATAGTACATTTAATTGTGAGGATTTCACATTTTTTGCAAGTTTCTTGTTTAGTCGTCTGTCCTGCCCTTCTATTTTATACCTTATTAGCCTCTGTGTTTTACAAATAAGTCTGACAGGTTAACGTGGGGTTTTTTAAAACATGGGCTGTGAAGTGAAAGGGTAGAATTCTAGGCCTAGGTCCATGGACAAATCTGGTAAGGTTGGTTAGTGATAAAGAGTTACAACCTAATTGTAGTTAGGTTCTTTTCCATTTTGCTGGAGACATTGCTACGTGTCTAACTGCAAATCACAGCCACTCGACGAGTAAATGTGCCATTTTAAAAAATATCTGTTTGGGCTGGGCACGGTGGCTCACATCTGTAATCTCAGCACTTTGGGAGGTCGAGGCAGGAGAATCACCTAAGGTCAGGAATTTGAGACCAGCCTGGCCAACATGGTGAAACCCCATCTCTACTAAAAATACAAAAATGTGCCAAGTGCAGTGCTAGGCGCCTGTAATCCCAGCTACTTGGGAAGCTGAGGCAGAAGAATCGCTTGAGCCTGGGAAGCAGAGGTTGCAGTGAGCCAAGATTACGCCACTGCACTCCAGCCTGGCCAACAGAGTAAGACTGTCTCAAAAAAAAAAAATTTTTTTTTTTTTACTATAATACTAACCTGCCTAATTCATGTTTTATCATGTTTACATCAACAGCAAAGTAGCAGGGAAGCAGCTGAGTCACACCACTTACAAATTCTTTCTTTAGAAGGAAATTTTCCTCTGATTTTCTGTCACACCAATTGAGTTTTGTTTGTTCCCATAAGTCAGTTGCTGGTGCATAAAGGGAGGTTGGGGAGGGAATTCAGTAGAGCAAGGACGATATTATCAGCCTCAACCTCCTCCCCAGGCCATGCGTGCTCACATACTATCAACAGACTTCCTGATGTCATGTTAAAAAATGAGAAAGACTCAACTGAATGAACACAGTCCTGCTTTTCTTTCTTTTTCCTTTTTTTTCTTTCTTTTTGTGAGACAAGATCTCACTCTGTCACCCAGGCTGGAATGCAATGGTGCGATCTCGGCTCACTGCAACCTCCGCCTCCTGGGCTCAAGCAATTCTCGTGCCTCAGCCTCCCAAGTAGCTGGGACTACAGGCGCACACCACCACATCCAGCTTATTTTTTTTGTATTTTAGTAGAGATAGAGTTTCACCATGTTGCCCAGGTTGGTCTCAAACTCCTGAGCTCAGCTGATCCATCTGCCTCGGCCTCCCAAAGTGCTGGGATTACAGGTGTGAGCCACCATGCCCGGCCCACACAAATTGTTTCTTTGTCTGCTGCTGGCAACAGATAGTGAGCTCCTTAAAACAGGAGCCATGTCTCTTTCATCGCTGGGAACCCAGTAGCCACTATGGACATGGCTCTGACCAAGCATTCAAGAAGCTGAGACCCATAAGCTTCCAGAAGAGCTGCGCTGTGCACAAATGAATTCAGCCTACAGGGCAAGCTCTGCGGTGGATTCCAGGAGGAACACAGGAAAGCATGAAGGTTACGGATACAGACTTGGAGTGAGATAGCACTGACAGTAAGTTTTCATTCATCAAGCAACTCATTTATACTCTCTGAGCCACAGCACCTTTGTCTGTCAAACGGGGATAAACAATATCCACCATGTGGGGCTATTGTGAGGGTTAAATTAAATGTGTATGGGCCGGGCACGGTGGCACAGGCCTGTAATCCCAGCACTTTGGGATGTCGAAGTGGGCAGATTGTTTGAGGTCAAGAGTTCGAGAACAGCCTGACCAACAGAGTGAAACCCCATCTTTACTAGAAATACAAAAGAAATTAGCTGGGCGTAGTGGTGCACGCCTGTAATTTCAGCTACTTGGGAGGCTGAGGCAGGAGAATTGCTTGAATTCAGGAGGTGGAGGTTGCTGTGAGCTGAGACCATGCCACTGCACTCCACCCTAGGCGACAGAGCAAGACTCTGTCTCAAAAAAAAAAAAAAAAGAAAGAAAGAAAGAAAGAAAAGAAAATGTGTATGAAGCAGTCCTCAATAAATGATGGCTGATAGTTTTATTTTGGTAATAACCCTAACAGGGGGTTTCCAGGATCAAGAAGAGAACAATAATGCCAATTAACATGTATTGGCCAGGCATGGTGGCTCACACCTGAAATCCCAGCACTTAGGGAGCACGAGGTGGGTGGATCATTTGAGGTCACGAGTTTGAGAGCAGCCTCGTCAACATGGTGAAATCCCGTCTCTACTAAAAATACAAAAATTAGCTGGGTGTGGTGCGCACCTGTAGTCCCAGCTACTAGGAAAGCTGAGGCAGGAGAATTGCCTGAACCCGGGAGGCAGAGATTGCAGTGAGGGAGATTGCGCCCCTGCACTCCAGCCTAGTGACAGAGTGAGACTCTGTCTAAAAAAAAAAAAATTAGCCAGGGTGGGGTATAGTGGTGGGTGCCTGTAATCCCATCTACTCAGGGGGCTAAGGCAGGAGGATCACTTGAACGCAGGAGGCAGAGATTGCTGTGAGTGGAGATCGTGCCGCTACACTCCAGCCTGGGTGACAGAGTGAGACTGTCTCAAAAAAAAAAAAAAAAAAAAAAAAAAACATAGGCCAGGTGTGGTGGCTCATGCCTGTAATTCCAGCACTTTGGAAGGGCGAGGCGGGCGGATCACAAGGTCAGGAGATCAAGACCATCCTGGCTAACACGGTGAAACCCTGTATCTACTAAAAATACAAAAAGTTAGCCGGGCATGGTGGCGGGCGTCTGTAGTCCCAGCTACTTGGGAGGCTGAGGCAGGAAAATGGCGTGAACCTGGGAGGCGGAGGTTGTAGTGAGTCGAGATCGTGCCGCTGCACTCCAGCGTGGGCGACAGAGTGAGACTCCTTCTCAAAAACAAAGTAAGAAATAAACAAACAACAACAACAAAAACTATGTATTATGCTGTTAATATAAGGTTTACATATCTTAACTTTTTTGATCCTGTGGGCTAGGTGTTCTTATTCCCATCTTACAGAGGAAGAAACTGAGGCATGGGAAAGTTCAGCAACAAGCCCAAGGTCACATACTTACTTATGAGGGAGTCAGGCAGTCTTCACCCCAGAGCCAACTGATCTCTAGATGGGACTGGAGACTGGACCACTTGGACCATTTTCTTTCCAATAACAGGGCTAAAGCAGCTGATGAAGCCATGGTACCCCATGGACTTCTTGGTCCAGCTTTGCCAGTGACCTGTGGGGTCCCCTAGGTCCAGTCCTTCCCTTTTCTTGACCTCGGTTTCCTCATTTACAATGAAGGAGTTTGACACAATAATTCTTGATTCTGAACTGTAGTCCAGGAAGAGACATTTGGGAATGAGGCCCTGGCCTGCTGGTGACATCATAGAGGGGGGAGTTCCATGAGAATAGTCAGGCCTTTCTGGAAGCCCAGTGCCACAGTCTGTACTGAGCTCGGCTCAGGAAGGAAGGGAAATCCAGGCGGGGCCTGTTGGGCCCAGGTCTGGAGTTCTGTTCGCTCCAGAGTTCCCAGCACAGTCATGGATCAAAACTCAGTGCCTGAAAAGGCTCAGAATGAGGCAGACACCAATAACACAGATACGTTCTTTCGCTCCCACTCATCACCCCCACACCACAGGCCAGGCCACAGTGGAGCTCTCCACCATCATGGCGTGCCTCAGCGACGTGGTGAATCTCACCACCCTCCGGAGTTCGAAGACTTCCATGACCAAGCCTTCTCCTCCCACATCCACCAATCTCAACACCACAGTGAGGCATGGAATCATGGCAGAGCCCACGGCCCCACAGGCTTTGGCCTGGCTCCCTCTCAAGGTGCTGTCCCCTCCCACCATTCCTACGGTGAGGACTACCTTAATGAGCTCCACCGTGCTGGCAGAAGGCATCATGATGGGTCCCAATACAGTGGGTTCCATCAGCAGAATGACTCCCACTACCATAAGGAGTCTCACCATGGCAGACGCCAATATCTCGGTGAGAATTTATCCCACTATTCCTCTGGCGTGCCCCACCACCCCAGCGAGGCTTCCCACCATGGAGCCAATCCCTACAGTGAGTCCTTCCACCACAGTGAGGCTTCCTACCTTAGCGGGCTCCAACACGACGAGTCCCAGCATCACCAAGTCTCCCACCATGGCTGGTCCACCCACCACCAAAGCCACCACCATGGCAGGTCCCGTCATCACGAAGCCCACCAGCATAGAAGGCCTTCTCATCACGGACAGATCCTTTCCCCTTATTCCTTTGTGGGGTCCTACCAGCATGGGATATCTGACTATCACAGCGAGTACCCCCATAGTGAGCATTCCCACCATGCACAGCACCACCACCGGACCCACCGGCACCGAGACCACCACCAGCACCGAGACCACCACAGTGCGCATCATTCCAGTCACCTCTATGGTGACTACGTCCAGAGCACTTCCCAGCTCTCCATCCCACAAACGTCCTGGAGTCTGGTTCACGATGCCTCCGGCCCTGCTGCTTCTCATACAGGAGCCTTCCCCCCTCACATGGCACACCCACGGGGCTCGGCCCACAGCATGACTCGGTCTGTCAGCACAGTCCACTCACGTGCCGCCCAGAGGTCCAAAAAAGTTCATCCCTGGGATACCTCCACCAAAGATTCAGAAGACTGGGGCAAAGAAGAGGGGCAGTTTCGGAGACGCAAAAGTGAGTCTTTGCTGGGTCCCCCATGCCAACTCCTGCTGCCTGGCACAGGTTCCAGACCTGGTCTCGGGCCCGCACTGACCTTCCACAGATCGTAAGGCCTGAACCTCCGCATATGTCCCCCATTGGCTATTCATTCTCCTGACTGTTCATGGTCCCATCTTTTATTTTTTGAATTATGCACTTCTTTAGGCCATGAGGTGTTTGTTCATTCAGTCACTGCCTTCTTTATTCGTATGTCCACCAGTCAAACATTGACACTCATTCAATGGGGGTGCGTGACCTGCCTGGACCATGGCAGCACAGGGAAAAAATCAACACAGTCGCTGCCCTCGAGGGGCCCAAGACTGGGGGTGGTCACTTAGCCGACCACAGATCATCCTGTGCTCGGGGCCTGCCCTCCTCAGAACATTGACCACAGTGGATCCTATCTGTCCAGATTTCTCCCACTCAACTGTGAGCTGCTTGAGGACAGAGATTAGGAACTAATGCCTGAATGAGGGCCTTATTGGAGGGCAAGGAGGGACCATGGGCTTTAGCTCTCACTCCACTGAACCTTCTTCCTAGTAGTTCAATAAACGTGACAACAGGCCAGGCGTGGTGACTCACACCTGTAATCTCAGCACTTCGGGAGGCCGAGACGGTCGGATCACTTGAGGTCAGGAGTTCGAGACCAGCCTGGCCAACATGGTGAGATCCCGTCTCTACCAAAAAAAAGACAAAAATTGGCCAGGCATGGTGGTGCGTGCCTGTAATCCCAGCTACTCGGGAGGTTGAGGCAGGAGAATCGCTTGAACTCAGGAGGCAGAGGTTGCAGTGAGCCGAGATCATGCCACTGCACTCCAGCCTGGGTGACAGAGCAAGACTCCATAAGAAAAAAAAAAAAAAAAAAACAGGCCGGGCACGGTGGCTCACACCTGTAATCCCAACACTTTGGGAGGCTGAGGTGGGCAGATTGTTTAGGAGTTGGAGACCAGCCTGGTCAATATGGTGAAACCTTGTCTCTACCAAAAAAATACAAAAATTAGCCAGGTGTGGTGGTGTGTGCCTGTAATCCAAGCTACACAGGAGGGTGAGGCAGGAGAATAACTTGAAGCTGGGAGGCAGAAGTTATAGTGAGCCAAGATCGCGACACTGCACTCCAGCCTGGGCAACAGAGCGAGACTCCATCTCAGAAAACAACAACAAATAAAACATGACAACAGTCTCAGGAACAAGCAGACAGGGGCAAGTGTGTTATTAAATGGGGGTGGGAAAGGCAACCTAGAGGAGGGAACATTTCATCAGGACCTTAAAGGGAGAGGATAAGTGCACCAAGAGGATGGGGTGATGAGGAGGTTGGGTTTTCCATGTGTAAGTTGCCACGTGAGCAAAGAAAGGCATGGAGACACAGGAGTGGGAGCCCTCAGGATCCCCAGAAGCCAACTCCAAATCCCCAACAGGCTGGCCCCTGCCACAGAAGGCACAGGACCAGCCTGTTGGGGATTTATTGGCCAGGGTGGTCTTGAACTCCTGGTCTCCAGGAGTGAGCTCCAGGTGCGAGCCATTGCTTCTGGTCACAATTATCCCCATTTTAAAGACAAGAAAACGGAGACACAGAGCAGTAGTGAAGTCACATAGCTGCTTAGGTAGAGCCGGGGAGAGCCTGGGAATCCAGGCTTGTGTGAGGCTCATGCTGAGGAGAGAGAGGACACTGGGTGCTGGGGACAGCCCTGAGCGTACTCCTGTGTCCCTGCAGAGTGGTACTTCATAACCTTGGACTCCATATTCTTCTGCATCTATGTGGTGGAAGCCGTGGAGGCCAGGAGTTCGAGACCAGCTTGGCCAACATGGTGAAACCCTGTTTATACCAAAAATACAAAAATTAGCTGGGTGTGGGGCAGGCACCTGTAGTCCCAGCTACTTGGGAGACTGAGGCACGAGAATTCCTTGAATCCTGCAGGCGGAGGGCCAGCAAGCAGGTGGGAGTGACTATGGACGCTGAGCCAGGCTGGGGGGTGCCCGGGACCTCGTGTCCCCCACTTGCACACACTTGACTTCCTGGCCCTGTTCCTTTCAGCCGGCCGGCTCCAGCGGACCCACAAGAAGGGACACTCTACTAATCTCTTGCAGTGGCTGTGGGAAAAGCTAACCTTCCTCATTCAGGGCTTCCGGGAAATGATCCGGAAGCTGACCCAATCCCTGGCCTTTGAAACCTTCATCTTCTTCGTCGTCTGCCTCAACACCTTCATGCTGGTGGCCCAGACTTTCGCTGAAGTCGAGATCCGGGGCGGTAAGAGCCAGGGAGCCCTGTTCCCATGGAGAAGCCACCGATGCTGTTCCAGGACCTCCATGGGCCTGATCCAGTGCCGGGCGGTTCACAGGACTCAGCTCACTAGATCCTCACCCCTGGGAAGTAGATGGCATTGCCCAACGTTTAGAGAGCGTCTCATAAAGACCCCGCTGAGGTCAGCCAGCCCGAGACAGAAGGACCAGCTAGGCGGGAGGCGGTGCTGTTCGCGCCGCAGCCACTAGGGGACGCATCTGCTCCAAATGTGCGACTGAGGGCGGCCGGGCGCCTGGTGCCTGAGCTTCGCGGGAAGGGCCGGGAACCCGAGAAGGCCCTGCGGGGGAGAGGGTGGAAGGCGCTGGAGGGGCGAGGGTGGAAGGCCAGGGAAGGCTGGGCCCTCTAATGTCATGGAGCAGGGTGAAGGACAGGAGCTGCCGGGCTCGTTGTCTCAGGCTCCATTCTAAGCCCTTCGCTTGTGTTCATGCATTTAATTCTCACAACTTTATCGAGTGGACTTCAGTTATCCCTATTTTATTTTATTTTAGACAGAGTCTCGCTCTTTTGCCCAGGTTGGAGTACAGTGGCGTGATCTCGGTTCACTACAACCTCTGCCTCCCGGGTTCAAGTGATTCTCCCACCTCAGTCTCCCAAGTAGCTGGGACTACAGGTGCCCGCCACCATGCCCAGCTAATTTTTGTATTTTTGGTAGAAACAGGGTTTCACCATGTCGGCCAGGCTGGTCTCAAACTCCTGACCTAAGGTGATCTGCCCGCCTCACCCACCCGAAGTGCTAGGATTACAGGCGTGCACCATTGCTCCCGGACACAATTAAACCCGTTTTAAAGACAAGAAAACTGAGACACAGAGCAGTAGTGAAGTCGTGGAGCTGCTTAGGTAGAGCCGGGGAGAGCCTGGGAACCTAGGCTTGTATGAGGCTCATGCTGAGGAGAGAGAGGACACTGGGTGCTGGGGACAGCCCTGAGCGCGCTCCTGTGTCCCTGCAGAGTGGCACTTCATGGCCTTGGACTCCGTATTCTTCTGCATCTACGTGCTGGAAGCCCTGCTCAAGATCATCGCCCTGGGTCTCTCGTACTTCTATGACTTCTGGAACAATTTGGGTGGGTGGGGCTGGGGCCAGGCCGTGTGTGTTTAGTCTCAGGGAGGCTCAGGATGAGAGAACGGTGGGGAAGGGAGCGCTGGCGTTGGGAGCCCGCCAGGCTCAGGAACCCCGTGCCCTCAGACTTCTTCATCATGGCCATGGCCGTGCTGGACTTCTTGCTGATGCAGACCCACTCCTTCGCCATCTACCACCAAAGCCTCTTCCGGATCCTCAAGGTCTTCAAGAGCCTGCGAGCGCTGAGGGCCATCCGGGTCCTGCGGAGGCTCAGGTCGGTGGCCACGGCTCCCACCTGGGGTGGGGACTCCAAAGGAAGAGGGGACACAGACCGGGGCCCCCAAGAAATCCACTGTGACCTGCTCAAGGGATGGGGGCACAGGAGGCTGCTGACCCCAGCCTGCTTCTGCCTCCTGCCATGCACTGGAATCAGCCCCTTCATTTTTCCAGAGAGGGGCCGGGACTCACCCAAGTCACCAGCAAGTCAGGAGCCTCCTGCCTTCAGTGCCAGCTGTGGCTGCTAGGCACAAACACCCCCCTGCCCCACTGATGACTCAGCCCCCACTCCATTTCTGCCCACAGATTCCTGACCAGCGTCCAGGAAGTGACAGGGACCCTGGGCCAGTCCTTGCCATCCATCGCAGCCATCCTCATCCTCATGTTTACCTGCCTCTGTATCCTGGTGCTGCAGGGGCTGGGGTGGGGGCCTGAGGGGTTGCGGTGAAAGGGGTGCGGGGAGCAGGGATGGGGCAGGAGGAGGGGCGCTGGGACAGGGATAGGACCGAGAGCCGAGTTTGGCCCTGAACAGCCAGTCCTCTTCTCTGCGGTCCTCCGAGCACTGTTCCGCAAATCTGACCCCAAGCGCTTCCAGAACATCCTCACCACCATCTTCACCCTCTTCACCTTGCTCACGCTGGATGACTGGTCCCTCATCTACATAGACAGCCGTGCCCAGGGTAGGGCAGGCCCCAGGCTGCAGGGAGGGCAAGGGATTGGGGGGGTGGACCGGCCAGGGCTTGGTGACCCCATCGGCAAAGTGGGGCTTCTGATGCCTGCATGTCAGAGTGTGGGGAGGGAGCAGGTCATGGTTGGGGGTGGCAAGCACAGCCTGACTGTGCCCTCTGGCCTGCTCCCCCTAGGTGCCTGGTACATCATTCCCATCCTCATAATTTACATCATCATCCAGTACTTCATCTTCCTCAAGTGAGGACTCGCCCCTGCTGTGCTGCCCAGCACCACCCGTGCTTCCTCCTCCCCCTGGGACCCTCACCCCAGCCCTCTCACCCTGGTCGTGCCACACTGAACCCACAGGAAGTACAGGGTGCCCCTCTCCTCTGGCCTCTTCACTGAGGGCACACTCCTGTCCCCCTCTCCAGCCTGGTGATTACTGTACTGGTGGATAGCTTCCAGATGGCGCTGTTCAAAGGCCTCGAGAAAATGAAGCAGGAGGTACCAAGTGGGGTGGGACAGGTGGACCAGATCAAGAAGCTGGAGGAGAGAGGCCATGGGGCTCCAGGGTTGAGCAGGCCTGGGACTCTGGCAGATCTGAGGCCTCTTCTTCCCAGAGGGCCGCCCGGATCCAAGAGAAGCTGCTGCAAGACTCACTGATGGAGCTCAGAGCCGCAGGTACCAGCTCAGCCCGCCCTGGCCTCACCTGCCAGTGGAGCCCAGTCTCTCCCTCCCCCTAACCTCCTTCCACAGATACAGAATTCCAGACTCGGTTTTAGAGTTTTAGAATTTGAGGCTCAGGAGGGCTTTCATCCAGAGGACTCTAGGACAATCCTCCCAAAGCCATTTAAACTGCTTGTCAAATCGTTTTTTGTTTGTTTGTTTGTTTTTTGAGATGGAGTCTTGCTCTGTGGCGCAGGCTGGAGTGTGGTGCTGCCGTCTCTGCTCACTGCAACCTCTGCTTCTCAGGCTCAAGCAATCCTTCCATCTCAGCCTCCTGAGTAGCTGAGACTGCAGGCATGCGCCAGCACACTCACCCAACTTTTTGTTCGTTTTTTTAGTAGAGATGGGTTTTCACCATGTTGGCCAGGCTGGTCTCAAACTTGAATTCCTGACCTCAGATGATCCTCCCACCTCAGCCTCCCAGAGTGCTGAGATTACAGATGTGAGCCACCACACCTGACTGTGCTTGTCAAATCTTAAAAGACCTACTGGGGGCCGGGCATGGTGGCTCACGCCTGTAATCCCAGCACTTTGGGAGGCCGAGGCAGGCGGATCACCTGAGGTCAGTAGTTTGAGACCAGCCTGGCCAACACGGTGAAACCCTGTCTCTACTGAAAATACAAAAATTAGCTGGGCGTGGTGGTGGGCTCCTGTAATCACAGCTACTCGGGAGACTGAGGTGGGAGAATCACTTGAACCCGGGAGGCAGAGGTTGCAGTGAGCCAAGGCGACAGAGCAAGACTCTGTCTCACAAAAAAAAAAAAAAAAAGAAGAAGAAGGAAAGAAAAAAATATGTTCTAATTGGCTAGGCCTAAGTTACCTGTCCTTGAAGCTGGGGTATGGGGCTCACCTCAGCCAGAGGACTTGGACTGAAAGGGGGTAGAAGTGATTTGTTCCTCAGGAAAATTGGGGTACTTCTTCCGGAAGTGGGGTGGGTGCTGGACGAGCAAACAAACAAAGGGAACTGCATTATGCGGCACGCCCGGAGAAGCAACCTCCTGGAGCAGCCTGTACAGAAGCTCCATTAGCCCTTATCTTCCTGACACACGGGGTTCCTCTGCCTCCTCTCCAAACCCAGGCCTTGACCTCACCCTTCTTTCTCTACATCCAGAGCCCAAAGAGGTGGCGAGTGAAGGCACCATGCTGAAGCGGCTCATTGAGAAAAAGTTTGGGACCATGACTGAGAAGTGAGGAGACAGGAAGGGAGTGAGGCCTGGGGTGTAAGGGTGAGGCCTGGGGGCCTGGCTGGAGGGTTGGGAGGGAAAGAGACATTGCCTGCCCCTCTAGAACGGGATGGAGCGCTGAGGCTTGTGGATGAGCCTGTGGGTGCAATGTGGAGACCCTGAGTGGCTTCTGCATGCCCAGAGGTGTGCTAATCCCAGCAGCAGAGATTCCACCCATTCCTTCACCCCAGAACCATCCCCAACCTTTGTCAGGTCTGGGCCCTGTGAGGGCTCCAGGGACCCAAAGAGGACACAGACTCAGCCCCTGCCCATGAGGACCCCACCTCTAAAGACCTGTGTTGGGCCATGGAGGATGAGTAGACTTCAGCCAAGTGGAGGGATAATGAGGTAGTTGGAGGAACAGCTTAGATCAAGGCCTGGAAGCCAGATGCTCAACCTCCATTCCTGTCCACTTGAGTGGCCAGCTGGGCCAGGACATCTGGGGACTCTGTCACCCAGGCTGGAGTGCAGTGGTGTAATCTAGGCTCACTGCAACCTCTGCCTCCTGGGTTCAAGCTATTCTCCCACCTCACCCTCCCGAGTAGCTGGGATTACAGGTGCACGCCACGACGCCCGGCTATTTGTGCGTGGTTTTTTTCAGTAGAGGCAGTGTTTCACCATGTTGGCCAGGCTGGTCTCGAACTCCTGACCTCAAATGATCCGCCTGTCTCGACCTCACAAAGTGATGGGATTACAGGCGTGAGCCACCGCGCCTGGCCTCTCACTTATCTTTCAAACTCAGCTCATTGACGCTGCCTCCAGAAGTCTTTCCAGGCCCCCAGCACCGGGCAAGGTTTCCCTCCTCTGGGCCCCTCAGAACCCAACTTCACATCTCAAGGTGTCAGCAGCTGTCTGGCTCTGAGGGCCAGCTGTCTCTCGTTAATCTCCATCTCCTCTGAGGCCAAGCTGTCTCTTGTTCATCTCCAGCTTCTCAGAGCACCTTGCTGTGTTCATTGTTTCCAGTGTTCTTTGATGAATGGGTTGACAAGATGGCCGGGAGGGTGTGAATGGGACAATGGGTAATGTGGTGCGCGCATGAGTGGGTGGATGGACAGGTGGATGACTGACTACACTGCATGGTGAAGGTGTTAATGGGTGGGTGGGAGGTGGCTACAGGGAAGAGCAGGTGGATGAAGGGGGAGGTGAGTTGTGAGTGGCTAGAGGGCCAGATGGTGAGTGACTGGATAAGGTGGGTGGATGGATGGGCAGATGGTCGAGTGGGCGTATGGGGAGGAATGGGACAGATAAATGGGTGGGTGGAGGGATGGGTGGTTAGGAAGATAAACAAAGCCAGAAGCCTCTGCGCTACACGCAGACTTGGGCACTTTCTCATATCTGGAAAAGGAGACCTCCTGGAAATAGAGGTCTGCGGTCATATAAATTTTGCAGGGAGGAGGCAGGCAAGAAGAGCCTCTGGGTGGTTCTGGGGTCCAGTAGGCCCAGCAAGCAGGTCAACCCAGCCCATCTCTGCGACCCCCACCCACCACCCGCAGGCAGCAGCAGCTCCTGTTCCATTACCTGCAGCTAGTGGCAAGCGTGGAGCAGCAGCAGCAGAAGTTCCGCTCCCAGGCAGCTGTCATCGATGAGATTGTGGACACCACATTTGAGGTGAACCAGGCAGGAGCGGGAAGGTGCTGGCGAGGGGCTTGTAGCCAGAAGTGTCCCCAAGTAACAGCCCCATGGGGATCGGGGAGGGCAGAGGCTGGTTCATTCACCCACCCGTGCCCCACTAACCCCTGCAGGCTGGAGAAGAGGACTTCAGGCAGTGACCCCAGGAGGACACCAGATACAGACTTCAACCCCTGGCAGTCTGCCCACCTGGGTGCACTGGGACGGATCCCCAAATCTGCTGGAAGGATTGTCCAGGCCCTGCAGAGCGGGGGCCCCAATAGAGTTTTTAAACCCCAGGAGGCTCCATGTCCTCACTGGCTAGGCCAAGGCGCAGGGAAGGGAATTGGTGCACATGCACGAACGAGTGTGAGCCGGTGCTCCCTATGAAAGGGGCTGCTCTTGATTCCCTCCAGCCCTACCAGGGCCCGCATGCTAGCTCAGCCTAGCAGGGCATTAACAGCAGCTGGAGGGGTGAGGCAGAACGTGGGCTGAGCTCAGGTGTCGGTGGTGCCGGGAGAGCCGAGGAGGCAGTAACCCTGCTTTGGGGAGGAAGGCCCATCTGGCCCAAGAGTCAGGAGAAAAAGAATAGGCCTGAACACCCCAGGGTTGCCAGGGCCTGGGGGCCCAATGGGCTCCAGGAATGGGGACTCAGAGCCCGGGAACTCAATCCTGCCAGGACCCTTAGCTCCAGGAGAAGAGCACCAACCAGATGGGGATGTCATGAACCCAGAGGTCAGAGGTCATTGTCATATCCTGCCCTTCCTGGGGTCAGACTCTAGAGCCCACTGAGGGGAGGTGGAGTCGGGGCTTCTCAAGTCCTTCTGGCCTCAGGGCAAGGGGCAGGCAGGGATGTGTGGAGGACCCTGCTGCTGGGAGAGGGAAGCAGGGAATGAGGCTGAAGGCTGCGCCCCACTGCCTGCTCTAGGACTTAGATGACCTCCGGACTGATAGCCTGAGCCTAGGCTGGATGTCCAGAGCCCCTGTCCCCATGGCTGGGGGTGACAGTGGGACACTGGCTTATGCTGGGTGCTGGAAACCTAGCACTGAGTAAAGTGCAAGCCTTGCCCTGGCCCCAGGGGTCTCTCCTTGAGTGGAGGGTTTTCCATTATCTACAATAGCCATCTCACCTCTAGTAGAGGTGAATCCAGGTGCAGTTCAGGCCAGAGGGAGTCAGGAGCGGGAGCTGAAGCGCAATAGTTTTTTGCCAACCCTCCCATCTCTGGGCCAGACCAGTCAGTGCTGTAGCTTCCAGGGCCCCAGAACAGAATAAGCACCTCTCTTCCCTGGTCTGGCTGAAGGCACTGGCTGGCCCAGGACCCAGGAATAGACTGTGTGGAGGAAATGCCATATGGGATTTGGGCACAGATGCCAGGGGCAGAGAGGTCACCGGGCAGGTGTCTCTGGGCCTTGCTTCTCTCCACCACCTCACACCTCACACATTCATTCAGCAGGCATTTCCTGCCACCCACCCTGTGCCTGCCCAATGCTGGGAGCCCCTGCTTGGTGGCACATGGGAGCCCTTCTAAGCAGCAGGCCCCCCACACACCCTGGGCTGTCTGAGCTGCCACATCTGACAAGCTTGAGCAGAAATAGGCTGGATGTCATCTCCCGGGTCCCCAGCTCCTGTCAAATGCCACCCCTCAGCTTCTCACTCCCAGGTGGGACCCAGGATCTACTTCCTGTTTCCTCGTCCCTACCCCAATATGGGCTCCGAAGGCAGATGGCAGGGCCTGGGAGCTGGGGCTGCTGCTCATTAGGCCCTAGCCTTGGGCAGGGGACTAGGCAGGCACAAGCAGGGTGTGAGGCCTTGTCAGAAAGGAAGGGCCGTGGGATGCTCTCCGCAGCCACTGCGGTGCTGCCTGCCTGGGCCTGATGGTGCCGACACCTAGCACCCCCAAGGCCCATATCCCAAGTGTGGGTGTGTGCTGGTGCATCTGAGGAACACCTCTGAGTGTGGCACGTGGGTCCTTGGGTTGTGTTTGGGTTTTGTGTGTACATTTCCAGGTTGTTTCTCTAGGGTGTGTTGCTTCTGTGCTCATGAGTTGCTAGGCTGTGTTTCTTTGGGTATGCATGTGATATCTGCCAGCATCTGAGTGTGTGCTGTGGGTGTCTGTGTGTGTATGTCTGGTGTGTTGTGCTTTGGGTGTGTGCGTGTGTATATGTATGGGGGAGTATGAATTGCAGCCACAAATTCAGGTGTGCAAATGTTGCAATGCCGCTTTCTTTTTTGAGATGGAGTCTTGCTCTGTCTCCCAGACTGGAGTGCAGTGGCGCAATCTGGGCTCAATGCAACCTCTGCCTCCTGGATTCAAGAGATTCTCCTGCCTCAGCCTCCCGAATAGCTGAGATTACAGGGGCCTGCCACCACACCCAGATAATTTTTGTATTCTTAGTTGAGACAAGGTTTCACCATGTTGGCCAGGCTGGTCTTGAACCCCTGACCTCAGGTGATCCACCCTCCTCAGCCTCCCAAACTGCTGGGATGACAGGCATGAGCCACTGCACCCAGCCACAATGCTGTTTTCTTTAAATGACATTACATTGAATCTGTCCCCCTCACCCCTCCTGTGGGTGGCAGACAAGCTCTGTCCCTCTAGGGCTCCCAGTCTAGCCCCTTTCAGGCATCTTGCCCAGGGCAAGGCATGAGAGGCGTCCTTGTGGTGTGGAGCCCACAGCCTGGACTGAGAAGCACTGTGCTAGCCCTCACGGTCTCCTGGCCTGCAGGGACTCTGCCATCATTGGGCCACGCGCAGGTGGAGGAATCTTACAGGCCGGGAGCTCAGCGTCCTGGGTGAGGACACTGCCTGCTTGAAGCCCCACATGCCACCCATGAGCTCCTCCTGGGGCTGAGCAGGAGCAGAGCACAGACTCCTCCTCGGAGTGCTCCCAGGCAGCCAGCCCTGTTCTTGTCTCAGGGCATCGCCCCCGCTCTGTGAGTCTGCCCCCACCCCTTACCTCTGAGAATATCGGGAGTCTCTGGCTATGTGTGGGGGCTCCAAGGTTTGTTCCTCTCTGCCTGTGATGCTGGGGTGTTTGGGGGGCTCCACATTTGGAGGCTCAGCCCTGCACCTTCAGCACTGTCTGGGCTGGGACAGCAGCAGCTCTGCTGCAGGTGGCAGGGTGACCTCTCAGCTTGGGCGGGGGAGCTGGGAGCTGCCAGAAGTGGGGGTGGGGGATGGGGGCAGAAGTGAAGCACTAAGAAGAAACCAATGCAAGAAGCAGCACTGGCCATTTATTGTGACAGATACGGCCCATGGACCTGAAGTACCCTCCACCGTGGCCCCAAAACAAATGGCCTTCGCCCTCAGGGACTTATCACACCTGCACACAGTTGTGCTTTAGGAGCTGAGAGGAGTTCTGCCAGGGAACCACAAGGACCTCAAAGTCACAGCGCAGCTTCTGTAGAGAGAATATAGGGGAGAAGGAGGGGTGAGCCCAGCCTCGACCTGTCTCCTCCCAATAGCCAGCCCTCTGCCTGCCAGGCCAATCCAGGGCAAGAGAAGGGCAATCACTGACCCAACGGATGTCAAGCCACATGGCCGGGACTAGACTCCAGATCTTGGTAGCCAACTTCCCCATTCCCCGAGGAAGCCCCAGCTTCCTTTCTGCACCCCATCTTGGCCCAGAGGCTGACTCATCCAGAAGGCCGACAGGTTCAGCCAGACATCTGGACATCTGCATGTCCAGCCAAACCAGTTCAGGCTGGACAACCTGAGTGCCTGAGGCTCTGGGGAGGGCTGGGGCTGGAGGAGCCCAGCTGTTACCTCCTGCTGCGCCCCTGCTGCAAGGGGGCAGGTGGTGAGGTCCACGTGGTCTCCAGCGACCCTGGTCTTGCGGCAATCTGTGCTCCCCATCTCCATCGTCAGGAAGTACTTGATGCCGGCCACCAGCTGGGGACATAGGGTAGGGGCAGGTCAGGGGTCTTGACCCTTGATCCTCACTTCTCACCTGCCAGCATATTCTCCTGTTGCCCCCAGGCACTCAGGTGGGGAGAGAGGGGAAAGGGATGATTCAGACCTGGGGTCCCTGGGGTGGAAGTTCTGGTGGGTGTGGAGGGTGGAGAGGCCTGGAGGCTGAGCCCCACCCGCAGCCTGGGCAGACATCAGACATGCCCCACCTGGGGAACTGCCCACTGTCCCCATCTGCCTTCCCTTCTCCCCCATCAGGGCAGAGACTAGGACCAGGCAAGCCAGGAAGGCAGGTAGTGCATGCAATACAGGATTGAATGATGTCTTTCCTTGAAATTTAGATGGCTGCCCATTGTGGAGTTTTGGCATTAATTCGATTTTTTAAATATTGCATGAAAATATCCCGGTAGCGCTTTCCGGCCCCCTCCATGCAAGCCCGGGCAGCGCCTGTGGCCTCCCCCGCCTGGGCCAGTATCCCCTGCCAGCACCCCGCCCGCCGCACCTGGCTCTGCGCCTTGATGATGTGCGTGTCTCGGAAGTAGTAGAGGCTGTTGCTGCCCATGTTGTAACTGGCCACGGCCGCCTGCGCCGCCTTCTGCACCTGCGGGTCGTCGGGCGACAGGTCCTGGCGTTCTCCGACCATGCGCTCCTGCGGCCGGGCCCGGGCGTCGCGGGGCAGCGCCAGGAGGCAGAATGCGACCAGGGCCAGGCCCAGCGCCAGCGGGAGGCTCGAACGCGCCATGGCCGTCAGTGCCATCGGAGCCATCAGAGCCGTGAGTGCCGAGCCTGCGACCGCGCAGCTTTTTTACCTGCTGGGCCGCCCCGCCCGACGCCCGCGGTGCGCCCCCGCGGCCGGAGCTGGGGCGGGGCTCGAAGTTGCCGGTTTCCGGGGTCCTGCGAGGTTCAGGGAGCCCAGGAGGTCGAGGGGGCGGCGCGCACCCGCGTACCAAGACGCTTCCCTACCCTCCAGGACACACCTGGCCCAGGGAGGGAGAGGACAACGAAGGTCCCCAGCAACAAGTGCCAGTAAAGGGACGGTTCACGGGAGGGCTGTCCAGAATGAACTACCAACCGCAGCTCTTCGTGGGCTCTTACTGTTGCCACCATTTCCTAGCTGTGTGACCTCGGAGAAGTCACTTAACCACTCGCTGCCTCAGTTTCCTCTTCTGTACAATGGGTGTTGTGAGGATTCCGTGAGCTGAAACAGGTAAAGTTCTTAGAAGCGGCCTGGTGCTGCATAAACAGCAGGTGAGTAGGACACATTACTGCTCAGCGCTGCCTGACAGCCTTCCTGGAGCGCCAGTGACTAATGCTTCCACCTGGCCAGGCGCCTAGGCATGCTTGTAATTCCAGCACTTTGAGAGTCCGAGGTGGGAGGACTACTTGAG